AAAGGAGACAGACATGAAGCATTAAACTACAGACCAGTGTCACTGACATGTATAGTATGCAAAATCATGAAGAAGATTATCAGGAGAAGAGTGGTGGAACACCTAGAAAGGAATGATCTCATCAACAGCAGCCAACATGGTTTCAGGGACGGGAAATCCTGTGTCACAAACCTACAGGAGTTCTATGACATGGTGACAGCAGTAAGACAAGAGAGAGAGGGGTGGGTGGATTGCATATTCTTGGACTGCAAGAAGGCGTTTGACACAGTTCCACACAAGAAATTGGTGCAAAAACTGGAGGACCAAGCAGGGATAACAGGGAAGGCACTACAATGGATCAGGGAATACTTGTCAGGAAGACAGCAGCGAGTCATGGTACGTGGCGAGGTGTCAGAGTGGGCACCTGTGACCAGCGGGGTCCCACAGGGGTCAGTCCTAGGACCAGTGCTGTTTCTGGTATTTGTGAACGACATGACGGAAGGAATAGACTCTGAGGTGTCCCTGTTTGCAGATGACGTGAAGTTGATGAGAAGAATTCACTCGATCGAAGACCAGGCAGAACTAAAAAGGGATCTGGACAGGCTGCAGACCTGGTCCAGCAATTGGCTCCTGGAGTTCAATCCCACCAAGTGCAAAACCATGAAGATTGGGGAAGGGCAAAGAAGACCGCAGACGGAGTACAGTCTAGGGGGCCAGAGACTACAAACCTCACTCAAGGAAAAAAGATCTTGGGTTGAGTATAACACCAGGCACATCTGAAGCGCACATCAACCAAATAACTGCTGCAGCATATGGGCGCCTGGCAAACTTCAGAACAGCATTCCGACATCTTAATAAGGAATCGTTCAGGACCCTGTACACCGTGTACGTTAGGCCCATATTAGAGTATGCGGCACCAGTTTGGAACCCACACCTAGCCAAGCACGTAAAGAAACTAGAGAAAGTGCGAAGGTTTGCAACAAGACTAGTCCCAGAGCTACGAGGTATGTCCTACGAGGAGAGGTTAAGGGAAATCAACCTGACGACACTGGAAGACAGGAGAGATAGGGGGGACATGATAACGACATACAAAATACTGAGAGGAATTGACAAGGTGGACAAAGACAGGATGTTCCAGAGATTGGGCACAGTAACAAGGGGACACAGTTGGAAGTTGAAGACACAGATGAATCACAGGGATGTTAGGAAGTATTCCGTCAGCCACAGAGTAGTCAGTAAGTGGAATAGTTTGGGAAGCGATGTAGTGGAGGCAGGATCCATACATAGCTTTAAGCAGAGGTACGATAAAGCTCACGGTCCAGGGAGAGTGACCTAGTAGCGATCAGTGAAGAGGTGGGGCCAGGAGCTCGGACTCGACCCCCGCAACCTCAACTAGGTGAGTACAACTAGGTGAATACACACACACACACACACACACACACACACACACACACACACACACACACACACACACACACACACACACACACACACACACACACACACACATTGACAAGGTGAATAGGGACAGGATGTTTCAGAGATGGGACACAGCAACAAGGGGTCACAACTGGAAGTTGAAGATTCAGACGAGTCACAGGGATGTTAGGAAGTATTTCTTCAGCCATAGAGTTGTCAGTAAGTGGAACAGTCTGGAGAGTTGTATAGGGGAGGCATGATCGATACATAGATTTAAGAAAAGATGCGATAAAGTTCATGGAGCAGGAAGAGAGTGAACCTAGTAGTGATCAACGAAGAGGCGGGGCCAGGAGCTGTGACTAAACTCCCTCCACGCACACGCACGCACGCACACACACACACACACACACACACACACACACACACACACCACACACACACACACACACACACACACACACACACACACACACAGGTGCAAGGAGGCAAAAACCAAGTGTGCTAGTAGGGAATGGAAGAAATGTAGTAGGCAAAGGACCCAGGAGAATAAGGAAAGCAGTCGTAGAGCCAGAAACGAATATGCACAGATAAGGGAGGCCCAAAGACAATATGAAAACGACATAGCAGCGAAAGCCAAATCTGACCCGAAGCTGTTATACAGCCACATCAGGAGGAAAACAACAGTCAAGGACCAGGTAATCAGGCTAAGGAAGAAAGGAGGAGAGACAACAAGAAATGACCGTGAAGTATGTGAGGAACTCAACAAGAGATTCAAAGAAGTGTTTAAAGAGGAGACAGAAGGGGCTCCAGAAAGACAGAGAGGTGGGGCACACCACCAGGTGCTGGACACAGTACACACAACCGAGGAAGAAGTGAAGAGGCTTCTGAGTGAGCTAGATACCTCAAAGGCAATGGGGCCAGATAACATCTCTCCATGGGTCCTGAGAGAGGGAGCAGAGGCGCTATGTGTACCCCTAACAACAATATTCAATACATCTATCGAAACAGGGAGATTTCCTGAGGCATGGAAGACAGCAAATGTAGTCCCAATCTTTAAAAAAGGAGACAGACATGAAGCATTAAACTACAGACCAGTGTCACTGACATGTATAGTATGCAAAGTCATGGAGAAGATTATCAGGAGAAGAGTGGTGGAACACTTAGAAAGGAATGATCTCATCAACAGCAGCCAACATGGTTTCAGGGACGGGAAATCCTGTGTCACAAACCTACTGGAGTTCTATGACATGGTGACAGCAGTAAGACAAGAGAGAGAGGGGTGGGTGGATTGCATTTTCTTGGACTGCAAAAAGGCGTTTGACACAGTACCACACAAGAGATTAGTGAAAAAACTGGAGGACCAAGCAGGGATAACAGGGAAGGCACTACAATGGAACAGGGAATACTTGTCAGGAAGACAGCAGCGAGTAATGGTACGTGGCGAGGTGTCAGAGTGGGCACCTGTGACCAGCGGGGTCCCACAGGGGTCAGTCCTAGGGCCAGTGCTGTTTCTGGTATTTGTGAACGACATGGCGGAAGGAATAAATTCCGAGGTGTCCCTGTTTGCAGATGAGGTGAAGTTGATGAGAAGAATTCATTCGATCGAAGACCAGGCAGAACTACAAAGGGATCTGGACAGGCTGCAGACCTAGTCTAGCAATTGGCTCCTGGAGTTCAATCCCACCAAGTGCAAAGTCATGAAGATTGGGGAAGAGCAAAGAAGACCGCAGACGGAGTACAGTCTAGGGGGCCAGAGACTACAGACCTCACTCAAGGAAAAAGATCTTGGGGTGAGTATAACACCAGGCACATCTCCTGAAGCTCACATCAACCAAATAACTGCTGCAGCATATGGGCGCCTAGCAAACCTCAGAACAGCATTCCGACATCTTAATAAGGAATCGTTCAGGACCCTGTACACCGTGTACGTTAGGCTCATATTGGAGTATGCGGCACCAGTTTGGAACCTACACCTAGCCAAGCATGTGAAGAAACTAGAGAAAGTGCGAAGGTTTGCAACAAGACTAGTCCCAGAGCTAAGAGGTATGTCCTACGAGGAGAGGTTAAGGGAAATCAACCTGACGACACTGGAGGACAGGAGATATAGGGGGACATGATAACGACTTACAAAATACTGAGAGGAATTGACAAGGTGGACAAAGACAGGATGTTCCAGAGATTGGACACAGTAACAAGGGGACACAGTTGGAAGTTGAAGACACAGATGAATCACAGGGATATTAGGAAGTATTTCTTCAGCCACAGAGTAGTCAGGAAGTGGAATAATTTTTGATGCGATGTAGTGGAGGCAGGATCCATACATAGATTTAAGCAGAGGTACGAAAAAGCTCATGGTTCGGGGAGAGTGACCTAGTAGCGACCAGTGAAGAGGCGGGGCCGGGAGCTTGGACTCGACCCCTGCAACCTCAACTAGGTGAGAACTAGGCGAGTACACACACACACACACACACACACACACACACACACACACACACACACACACACACACACACACACACACACACACACACACACACACAGACACACACACAGACACACACAGACAGACACAAGAGGTCACAATTGGAAGTTGAAGACTCAGATGAATCAAAGGGATGTTAGGAAGTATTTCTTCAGTCATAGAGTAGTCAGGCCATGGAATAGCCTAGAAAGTGATGTGGTGGAGGCAGGAACCATACATAGTTTTAAGGCGAGGTATGATAGAGCTCATGGGGCAGGGAGAGAGAGGACCTAGTAGCAATCAGCGAAGAGGCGGGGCCAGGAGCTGTGACTCGACCCCTGCAACCACAAATAGGTGAGTACAAATAGGTGAGTACACACGCGCGCGCGCACCCGCCTGCATGTCCACACCCCCTTCCCTACCTGCTGTTATAGTGGCACCTTGTGACATGTCCCTATGAGAAAAAAATTCCTGTTCTCATGTTTTGTTCAGTCTCATTCATTGTAATTTGCATTTTATGCTTCCTATTTGTAACATTTTCCAAAGTAATCTTAGATGGGGAGGTCTGTCAAAGGTTTCCCTGAAGTGTAAACACACAATACCAATTCATGAGTATTTCCGTGATTTATAACAGCGTAATATATATGACAATGATTTCTACGGGCTGAAACCAACTTTTTGTAGATTTTTATACCCTGTTTAATCAAGTTTTTTCTAAAGTTTTTTTTCGAAGAGCAATATTTTTATAACACTTGCCAGTGAAATATGCGTATAGTTCAAATGGTCTTCAGTGTCGCCTTTTTTGAGTAATGGCATAACGTGTGCCATTTTTTATTTGCCTGCCAATTTATATTGTGGTGAAATTGAAAAGTAAATCAAAGTGGGTGACAATTCTAATGCACATTCAAAACCTATGATGCTATCCTCTGGTCTATAAACAGTGTGTTTTGGAGATTTGTGCTGGTGAAGTCTCAGCTGGATTCTGCCACTGACCTTGGTACTGCTTGACTGTGTTGCGGCCAGGTGCCAGGTGGTGAGGGAGGAGAAGCGTTGGCGAGCGTTGTTGGGAGGGTGTTGGTGGGGGTAGTGAGGTGTATATGTGCGTGTGGGTGGTGGAGTGTGGTGGCTGGTGATAGTGCGAGGTAACCCAGCCAGTTAGTTGTGATAAATCAGGAGGGGGAGTAACACGCGCGCACTTACTCTCTCCCCCCAGCGGTCACCGTGGCTTGATTATCATTTCCTAACAGTACCGTTTCTTGTACCTGATGTAGTCACGTAACACACCTCACGCTCACCTCTGTTCCAGTACCTGCAGTTCCCAGTACACAATGCGAGTGCATCTTCTGCCCTAGTATCTACAGGCAATCTCGTAACCCACCTGGATTATTTCTGGCAGTTTATTTTTGTACTAGTGTTGGGAGTATACATAGAGTAGTTCTGTGATTCACGTGAAAGTGTTGCTTAGTGCACCATGGTTGGAGTGCGCTGGTGAGTTGTGCACAAGCACCGGGTGTCGATCTGATTTAAAGTGCACAGTACATTGTCGGTGATGGGTGTGAAATGTGCGGTTATGTCATCGTTTGTGGGGAAGGCTGGTAGTGGTGGTGGTAGTTGTGCTCGGTCGCAACACGCTGCTTTGTTGCGTCTTATAGCTTTAGCTCGTCAGGGAGGCCTCTCCACCCTACCGCCTACACAGAGACACTTCCTGGCGCGACTCCTGCTAGCCCACAGATCTCGCACCACATTCACCCCTCAACATATGGCGGCACTAGAACAGCGGATGGCTATCTTAAAGCGCCATTGCCGCCGCCACCAGCAACGCTTCCACCATCGCCGTGACTCCACGCCAACAGACCAGCGGGAGACTCACATCTTCAAGAAGCCTCTCCCTAGACCCACGCCAAGACAACGACCCTCCCTCCCTCACGACGCCAGCGCGTCGCCGGCGCCACCCGTCACAGATGCTGCCGATGTCAAACCTAACGGTGAAAGCAAGCAGTGGATTCCAGTGTCATTCACCAAGAGTCGCGGTTATAAGACAAAAAGTACTTGGAAGGTTCATGATGGAGGCGGAGGTGAAGGTGCCCTTGAGGAAGACCAATGGAGGCCCGTCAGGGTGGAGAAACTGCGTCCTTCTCCATTGTATCATCATATTAAGAGTGCCTCATATTTTTCTGCCTCAGCTGTTCCTATTGGAACTGTCCCTGCTGATACTTCTGCTTCCTCTGATACCAGGCGGTCCAGACGACGTTCGGGGCGACGTGAAAGACCATATTCAAGCTGTCTGGCCCCTACGTCAGACAGCAGCAGCAGCAGCAGCAGCAGTAATAGGCATGATGCCCCTTGTAGTCATCTTGCCGCTAACGTGACTAGTAGTCCGCCTCCAGCAAGCACCAGTCCCGCTACCACCCCCAACATTTTTGTTACCAGTCCACCCACTAGCCCGGATACTAGTGCAGTGACTAGTCCGAATACCAGTCCAGTTATTAGCCCTACTATTAGTCCGACTCCCAGCTTAATTCTCAACTTAGGTGCTAATCCGATTATAACTTCGGTTTCTACACTAGTTACCAGTCCGGTCTCCAGCCCGGTCACCAGTGCAGCCACAACTCCTTCGACTAGTCCAGTTATCAGTACACTCAGCAGCCCGGTGGCTAGCGCCGCGTTTCCTAAACCTCTTCAGCGGTTGAAACTCAAACCACTCTCCCTACTGGTGAACCCAGTCATTACCACTCCTAACCCAGCTAATCCCGACCACAGACCAATCTTCACGAGCATGGTCTCCGGCACAGTCACCTGCAATTCCAGTTACACCTTCAGACCCATTCCCAGAGCGGAGAGTCCAACAGATGGCTCTGGAAAGTGGCAGTTGTGGGTGCCGGCTCTCAGGTACTCGTGGGTGAACCAGCTGACCCGCATTTTCTTGCAGGAAGGTAGCGAGGAAGAACACACCAAGGAAGCCGAAGCCACGCAAGGAGGGGGAGATGCTGTTCCAGCCTCCTCCTCCTCATCTTCGTCCTCTTCCTCCTCCTCCACCTCGTCCTCCAGTAGCAGCAGACACTCGCTCTCTCACGGTAAGGACATGTTGTTTTGCATACTTACGCTACATGTAGATATAGTCATAGATTTCATTTTCATATCTTGGCCGCAAGTAGCAACAGCCCTTCTGATTAAGCGGTCACCAGGTAAGTTTGGTTACTCTGGTTACTCATCCTGAGTAATCAGAGAGAGATTTTCTAGTTACCACTTGTTAAAATCACCTATGTTTATTGACAAATGTTGAGGATGCAGCTGAACCATAGCATCATACACAACACAAAGTAATGCATGGTCATCCCACCTAGGAAGTACTAAAATTTTAGTTTGGTACTAACGTTATATTATAAAATATGGCAAGATTACTAAGTGTTCTCAAATTTGCAACCTCTCAGTCTATTCTGTTTGTCGCACGGAAATCTCTTGATTTACTTTAGGGTTCGTAAGCTTGGTTAGGTTGGAGTGTCGTCAGTTAAAACTTAAACCAATTACATGTTACATAGAGGTTATCAAGTTTAGAAGCGCTAACAGAAAACGGGAACCCCCTTAAAGCGCACTTACATTAGTCATTTAATCACAGAAACACTTGAAACAAGTGTAGAAGTCCTTAAGACAAAACTGGACAAGTGTCCCCCCCACAGAGTGCCAGATCAACCAGGCTGTGATAGATGGGGGGTAAGCGCTCCGGGAGTAGAAAAACTCATCCAAGGTTAAAGTACTGTTTAACATAATCAGTTTTTTTTTACGCTCATATTAGTCCGTGGTTTGTCTGGCATGGTTACAAACTTTGGGAATGTTTCCTTACACCTGCCCCTGTTCACCTAGAACCGAAGAAAGTACCTGGCTATTTGTCTACTGTTGTAGGTCGCATTCTCGGGTACTGTTCCTTAGGGCTAGGGTTTGAAATTAGCTTAGATAGGATAACGGCTTTTATCTTGTAAAATTGATGTGTAAAAAAATATATATTATTGCCACATATTCAGTATAACACTTTTTAGCTAGTTTTACTGGATTGTCTTGATGTATATACCAAGTATCTCATCTATATAAAGTGTGACTTCAGTGTGCACTTTCCTATAATCATACTGGTAATAAAATATACTTTTTTTTATGTAGTTTTGAAGAAAACCAAGACTTAAAAATGTATTCTGTTCATTTTATCAACACTTAGTAGTTCTCATTACATGGTGTTTTATCAGCATCACAGAACTATGTATTGTTTTATCAGAAGAACTGGAAAGAGACTAAAACTAGCAAGTAATAGAATGCAGTATCTCAGTTTATTTCTTATCCAAGTATAACCCTAGCCTTATTTTTAAGATACTGTGTAGTACCTTGAAGACCCCTTTTCCCCAGGTAAAACAGTTTAAACACTGTATACATTAATTATAGTTGTCTAATGATGATAACTCCTGCAGTACTGAAACAAAACCTTTGAAATTGCCAAAGATACTGAACCCATAGTGGAATGTCCTATAATACCATCATTGCCTTGCTAAAATCTCCCATCACTAGCTGATAGACCTCGAATAGGGTAGCTCTGTGCATTGCTGATTCTACCCTATTCAAACCACACCACGGGTGGAGATTGAACTCGCAGATAGTGAGTTGTAAAACTAGAGTTTTACGACTCTAACCATGAGTTCAAGCCCTGCCCTTGGTATGGTTTGTTTGCAATCATGTCATTATGATTTCGTGAGTTACCTATTCATTTTGATAAAAATTTATTGTAAAAAATTGTATATTTTTTTCACCAGAACTAACCTAGTAATATGGCCTTTGCTAAAATTTATGTAAATTGATAAAAAAAATTATCTATATTGTTTGCATAATTGTTCTACCTGAATGAACTGTAGGTTTAATCTTAAGGTGACCCATTTTTTTTATTAAAGTTCAAGTATAGGTGTGTTTATTAATCAACACAGTGTATATAGGAACAGAGCCATGGTGGTGTCCGGTGTGGGCCAGAAATATCTTTGATCATCTTGATGTGTGTTAAGTTCATATGCTATAAGAACCTGTCCCAGACACATGGCATTCTAAGAATGAATGGATGCTAATGGAGTGGTGTCCTTGAGAAGGGAACAGGCAGAGTCAAATTGCTGAGTGTCCAACATGTGCTGTAATACCTATTTATTTGGCTGTCCACAAACCTGGGGCAGATGGGAGACCTTGATCACAGCCAGTGTAAATAACAATGAAACCAATGAACATGGTGCAGTCCTGCCACTTTGCCTGAGAAGGATGAAGGATGGACCTGTGCTTTTTACACAGTATTTTTGTAAAAATAACTTTGCTAAGGATATATACCTCCTTACTAGTACTTTACTAGCCAAGTAATTTTCTTACAATTATAGGATTTATCATTTTTATTACAACATGCAGTACTGCATTTTTATTGTTTTTATCATCAAAATTTGTATTACCTGATATCCAGTATTTCTTATACTGTGTTATACTGTACATATTACGTTGCTGCTTTTTTTTTTATACACAATCACTTTTTTTTTTAATCAGTATTCATCATCAGATCCAGTAAATACTTCATTGAATTACTGCAGTCATTAAATACTAAGCTAACTTTCATTATTTTTACAGAAAACTGACTAAAACATGACAAAATATATACATGTATATACCAGTATAACTTTGGTATGCATACTGTCGCACAGCTGCATACTTGATCAAAAGGAGGCAGAAGTGCAATTTACTTCACTAGTAAGATGAAATAAGAACATAAGAAAGGAGGAACACTGCAGCAGGTCTGTTGGGCCATACTAGGCAGGGCCTTCATAATCCATCTCACTAACAGAATATTTGCCTAACCCAGTTTTCAATGCCACCTAAGCAATAAGCTTTGATAATTCTATTTGCTCATGTGCAAGTCCTGCTCTCACTCATAAGAATGTAAGAATATAAGAAAGGAACACTGCAGCAGGCCTGCTGGCCCACACTAGGCAGGTCCTTTACAGATCCAACCCACCATTAAAAACACTGCAAGACTCCAGGCGGACATCTGCCAAATCTTTAAATGGGCCGCAGAAAACTATGAAGTTCAGTGATGAGAAATTTCAGTTACTCCAATATGGAAAACGTGAGGAAATTAAAACTATGTTGGAGTATAAAACACATTCCAACCACCCAATAGAGTGAAAAACCAATGGGAGTGATCATGTCAGAGGATCTCACCTTCAAAGACCATAACATTTTATCACATCTGATAGAAAAATGAGAGGCTGGATAATGAGAACCTTCAAAACTAGGGATGCCAAGCCCATGATGACACTCTTCAGGTCACTTGTTCTATCTAGGCTGGAATATTGTTGCACACTAACAGCACCTTTCAAGGTAGGTGAAATTGCTAACCTAGAAAATGTACAGAGAACCTTCACGTCACACAACTGCGATAAAACACCTCAGTTACTGGGAACTCTTGAAGTTCTTTAACCTGTACTCCCAAGAATGTGGGCGGGAGATACATGATTATATACACTTGGAAAATCCTAGAGGGATTAGTACCAAACTTGTACATAAAAATCACTCCCTATGAAAGCGAAAGACTCGGCAGACGATGCAGCATCCCCCCCAGTGAAAAACAGGGGTGCTACTAGCATGATTAAGAGACAACACATTAAGTGTTAGGGGCCCATGACTGTTCAACTGCCTCCCAGCATACATAAGGGGGGATTACCAATAGACCTCTGGCTGTCTTCAAGAAGGCACTGAACAGGCACCTAAGTCAGTACCTGACCAGCTGGGCTGTAGTTCGTATGTCGGGTTGCGTGCGGCCAACAGTAACAGCCTGGATGATCATGCCCTGATTCACCATGAGGCCTGGTCACAGACCGGGCCACAGGGGCATTGACCCTTGAAACCCCCTCCAGGTTTACCAACAGAACATTTGCCCGACCCACTTTCAGTGCTACCCTAACAAATGTTTGGTATTAGTGCATGGGGATTTGCATCAGTGAATCACCTGAAACCAGCCTACTCAGCCAAAATCGGCTGTTAGAACAATCATCTAACCAGGTTCAAGATAGTATATATGCACCCTTTATTCAGACATTTAAATTTTCTTAACATATGAAACATCTACACGTGTGCACACTAATACAGTGGACCCCAGCCGTTCGGCGGCCACGACTTTCGTGAAATCCGACTTTCGGCAAGTTTTTTTTGGCAAAATTTAGCTTCGTGGTTCGTGATTGGACTCGTGATTCAGCGACCTTCTGGTACATGTCTCCCCGTCAAGGCGCACACAAAGCCAGTCTCCCACACTATTCACACTCAGTGTGCCATTGTTTACCAGCATGTGACCATCACCCCACGGGTTCATACAACACCTTTCATAATCATTGTTTTTTTGTGCTTGCAACTGCTAAATAAGCCACCATGGGCCCAAAGAAAGCTCCTAGTGCCAGCCCTTTGGTAAAGAAGGTGAGAAACACAATAGAATTCAAGAAAAACTCATAGCTAAGTACTAAAGTAGAGGAGGAAGAGAGAGGGGAGAATGTGCCTTCTGCAGTGATTCTACAATATGTATGATACTAAAGCAGCAGGTATCGATAAAGGCTATAGCTCCAGCCAGCGATAAAGTGTAGAATTAACAGTGTAGCAAGTAAGTTAAGTGAGTAAGTGATAGAAAAACATGAGAGTAATTCTCCAATGTTGTTGGATGTGTATAGGACCGCTGAACATACATCACCCTTCTATCTTCCACCACCCTAAACCTCTGCCAACATCTCCTTCGTCAAACTAACTAATTAAACTAACATCTCCAAGGTAAGTGTAAATATAAAAGTGTAAGTATAAAAGTAAATATAAGTGTAAATATAAAAGGACATCAATGGAAATATGTCACTCTTGAATTTTTAGGGTTATCCTGGGTACTTTACACATATGCTGCTATGTATGATAATCTATGTAAGTAACTGTATTTGTGTATACCTGAATAAACTTACTTATTTATAAATTAAAATGTAAATATTTCTTATTTATAAAATAAAATGTAAATATTTCTTATTTATAAATTAAAATG